TCCCCACCCCTCCGCCTCCGCCCAACTGAGGTGCCCCCGAGGCTCCCCTCCCCCCGAGCCCGCCGAGCCCGACCTGCTCTCCTCCTGCTCCCCGACTTCCATCCCTGGAGGGGGAGGCGTCTCTCAGGGGCCCACGACCACGCTGCCCGCCCGAGCGACACCCAGCGCGAGGCCGCCGCCCGCTGCCATCGCCGGGCCCCGGGCGGGAAGCATCTGCCCGGCGCCACCCTCCCGAGCCTTGTCACCGCCCCTCCGTCACCGCAAAGAACTACAGTTCCCGGCATGCCCTCGCACGCTTCCGGTCTTCGCGCCGTCCAGGCCGCGCCCCCTCTCCCGCCCTCCACCAATGCGGCGCGACGCGCGGTACGACGCGACGCACGCGTTTGGAGGGACTTCAACTCCCGAGAGGCCTCTGCGGCTCTTCCGGCCCGGTTTCTGTGCTTGGCTTTCCGATGCCTGCAGTAGTTCGTGTGAATGACGGGTACAGGACTTTCCATAGCCAAGATATACGATATATCTGCAAAGCTATTAGGAGCACGTGCAATTATCGGATTACGTTTGCAAAAGTCTGCAAACTGATCACGTGGTTAACATTTCACCAGGCTAAGAGGGGCAGCAGGCAAATCTTGCTTAGTGGCAGAGGTGCGAATCTTCGCTTGGTTGCAACTGTTTGCACCTTCGTTTTTGGTTGGTGATGCTTTGAGTACTATATGGGGAGAACGGCCAGCTGTACCTTGGAGGTAATAAGTAAAGGAAACATGTCTTTGAGCTCTTTGGGACTCATCAATAACTGGTTTTGGGGTTTTTTTCTAATTGTGAGCCGCCCAGAGTCACCCTCTGGGAGAGGTGGGCAGCATACAAATTTAATAAATAAATCAATAAATCCAGCCAGCCGGGACTGTCTGTGTTAAGTAAGGTCAAAGTCCTTTGCACTTGCCCTTGGGAATAATTCCTGTAAACTCCTAAGTCAGTGTTCTCCAAACTTGGCCACCCTTTTAAGAGGGGTGGCACTAAATCCCCCAACCACCCCCCCACACCCATGCGGGGGGGGGGGTG